ATATCTGAGTGGGATACAACTGAGGTATATTTATATGGAATTAGAATAGGGAAATTCGTCCCGCGCCAAAGCTGGGATATAAGTGAGGTTGGGATATAACTGAAGGGGATATAACTGAGGTATGACTGTAATTTCTTATAAAGAGGGATATAATGAAGAAAAAGACCACAAATTTGCGGCGCTCCCATCTCTTTTTCATACTGATGTTCGGTCGTAAGCGAAATGGAATCTATTATACCAATCGCCTATACGACTTCACTACAATGACTAGTTTATTAAAAATAGAAGACGCAAAGTGCCAATGACTTATAATTTTTGCGAAGTTGGTCTCTTTTTTGATAGCATGGTTGATTTTTTACTTTTTTTTTTTATTTCTTTTTTAAAAGCGAAAGATTGTATACCTCAATTTTGAATTTTTTTTTGTCACAATTACATGTTTTGATGTTGTATCTTACAAAGTCTACTCTAGACTCCCAGTAATATCTATATTTTCTGATTTTTTTTAAACACTTCATTTTACCCATACCTTTGATTATATCCATAAATTCCATTCTCGACAACTCTCGCAGTCGTCTTATTATTAAGTTCTTACTTTACATCCTCGATATACCCAATAATACAAAGTATGACAATTAAGTAACAGTTCAGTTTGGTTTGTTTGTTTCGGTTACCGGTTACCGGTTTTCATTTTTTTTTTATTCGTCTTCAGGCGGTCGAGGCGGTGGTGGTTTACTCATCATCTCAATCTTGGCCTTCAACTCCAGCACTGTAGCCTATAAAAATAATGCAAAGATCAATGTGATCAGTAATAATGTATTGAGTAGGGAGGGGGAGTGCGCGTGTTAAAGTATACCTCGAGTTCTTCGTTGCGTTTTCGAGCCAAGTCGTATGATTGTGATACTTTCTCGTATTCCTTAGCACGTGTTTCTCGTTCAATGGCCAATAAACCCTTTTGCATTATCGTAAGGAAAGAGATACAATTGTAGCATGTTATATGAGAAACTTAATGTCGTGAAATATCAAAAGCATGTCGACTTGTTCTCGACGACTAGAAAGTTCATACACCGCCAAAAATTATTACTATCACATACCTGCCTCTCCTCCTGCTGGTTGATAGTCCTTTGATGCTGCAGCTTAGCTTTAAGATCATCAATTGTTTGCGATTGAATACTATGGTAAAAAAGAATATTATTTAATAATCGGTGTCACGTTCATAATTGTTGTGTGATATAATAATCACCAATTTAATACCTGATCGTCTCGTTTAATTGACGCGTTACTTGCTCGTTAGTCTCACTAGCGACTTCCATCTTTTTTGCTTGAGCGACTAGCCTTTCTATTTCACGCTCTCGTTCTTGGAATTCCTTTGACTTGTCTTGCCTTAATTGAGTAAACGCAACAGAAAGATAAAATCAACAAGGCAAAATAAAAAGTAAAAATTATACAATTTCTCTTAAAAGTTAGAAATGATGATTACCAGTTTAGTAGCTTCTCCGCTAGTTGGTCTATTTGACTTTCATACTCGGACAGTTTGGTAAGCTGGGCTTCACGAGTTTCCAGTTGATTCTCAAGAGAAAAAACCCTAATATCAAAAAAATATAACACCATTATTAATTATCTGATATAACTGCTGCTTGCAATACATGCATCGCTAGCAAGCCGAATCCGTTTTGTCAAATCATATATCCTCAACTCACCTATCCCGCGCCTCATCCAGCTCTTTCCTCGTTAGTTTATTCACAGTCTTTGCATCGTTCAGCTGATTCTGAAAAGTTTTCACCTTGTTCTCCCAATCTTTCCTTTCTTCTCTATACTTTTTTATCCTTGCATTTAGCTCGTTCTCCCATTCTACTTGTTTCTTCCGCGAACTTTGCATCTCGCTTCTCTGCTTATCCAACGCATCCTGTGTTACTTTTACTTGATTCTTTAGCATCTTGCATGAACGGTGCAAGTTCTGTCGCTCTGCTTCGACGCTCGCATCAACGACATGATCGTGATGCAGTCTACCAATGTGTTGGAGATGCTGTTGTTTGAGATAGAGTTCAAAGTTGAGTTCGTTGCGGAGGAGCATTATTTCGCGTTGCAGGAAGGATATTTTGGCTTGTGTGTTTGTCGATGGACGCAAGGGAGGAGAAAGTGGAAGCGTTTCATAGGGTGGAACAAGAGGGGCGAAAATCGTTGATGACTTTTGACGACGAGGACAGAAAGAAAAAAGGGTTAAAAAAAATCCCCGAAACCAAAACAAGTATGAGTGACCACAAACCAACAATTGCGTTATCACTCACCCATGGATCATCGCCAACAACAATGTCAGCACCACTCTTTAAAGCTTGATGGATTCCAATAATATCCTGCATCGATATCGCCTGCGACAATTTTCTCACTTTATTACCATCTGCTTCACTTTCATCATCCTCGCTATCATCTTTTTTGCCGTCAATTCCAGTAATTTTTCTTATCATTCCGCGTGTGTTTTCGATATCATAGCTAACGCACTCGGCCACTACCTCGGCGGGTTCTAGTTTCTTCCAGCGAGAAGTATCAGAGAGTTCTCGTTCAGAATCGTTGAGAATGAGTTTCGGGTGGATTGTATGACGGCGGAAAAGTGACTTTGGAGTGTGGTAGAAATGGTGTAGGAAAAAGCCACAGAACATATTTGGGGAAAAGCGATAGAACATATTAGGATAAAAAGAACGTGAGGTTCTAGTTTCAAAAAAAATATAACGTATTTACCAAACTGCGCGATCGAATTATGTTTTCATCAATCTGTTCATATAGTGGCGTGTAATTCATCTCTGCAAACCATTTTCTTGGATTTCGTAGAAACTTTATGGTATTGCATGGAAACATTCCATACAGAAACGTGAATAATGGTAGACAATTCGGTGGGGTTGAAGGAGCAGTATCGAAACTTGAATCTATTTTCGAACGGGCAAGTTTGCAATATTTTAAAAATCCGTGGCACGATATGGTAATAGAGACAGACAGACAGACAGACAGACAGACGTGCTCTCCCTATTTATCCCACCCTCTCCCCCGCCCCGAATCAGTACCTAAAACCTAATCTTAGCTTACCAAACCTCTGCCAATCAATGTTATCACGATTTCTTTCCGAATTCAAACTTTCTTCATCGTCGGTTCTGTAATCTAACCTTCCAAGTTGATCTCCGTCATCATATACATCATCATTCCCAAAGTCGATGTCGACATGCCGTGTCAGTTTATCCCAACAAAGTATTCTTACAAATACGCTGTAAAGTTGAGGAAGATTTTCTACTACGGAAGTAGAAATGTGAGGCATAAGCATTATTAGGGTTGTAAGTGAGAGAGAGAGAAGGGTTGTCGAGGAGTCTATCTACAAAATGAGAAGGAAAAGGAAAAGGAAAAAAAAAGACAAGCATTGGAATTGAAGATGCATAGTAGGTGGATATGTAGATGGCAATAATTTTAAAAAGTGATTAATTAAACATATATATCGGGATGCGTACTTTTACATCAGTGCGAGTAATTTTTCAAATACCTGGAGAGAAGTTAGAATCGATTCGAGTAAAGACGTTTCGAGAATTTTATGAATGTTGATAGCCTGTTGTGAAAAAATACGTAATTTAACGTTGTGTGATACTTATCGTAAATCACGTAAAACACGCACCTGCTGTCTTATAAATATCCCGAGAAGTGTCAACACTTGAAGGCGAGTCTTTTTCTCCAGAAAGTATTTGTTCAAGAGTATAAAAAAGTCCTGTTGCATAGAGATACAAAGATTAATTAACATGTGTAAAGAAATATCGCAAAGCGCAATCATAATTTGCCCCTTTGAAGAAAAATAAACCCAACATTCTCTTCTATATCTTTCCAAGACGCGTGTTCAAACAATCAGTCCATACTCTCTGTTCTTCTTACCTTTGTTCTAACACTCCCATATCCTTTCAAAAGACTTTCCAAATTCCTAAACCAGAACCTTCTGCTCTCTTCCCTTTTTTCTCCACCACTATCATCATCTTCCCCAACAGCATTGCCTTCCATTGCACTCTCTTCAAGATACCTCTCCGTGATGCACTCGACAAATTTGCCCACTTTTGTTCCTTCGCCAGTCATAGTGTCTACAACAATCTTTTTGGTTTCCTCGACAATATCCTTTGTCTGCTGTTGAGATTTCAATATTGGACCCAGAACATTATCCCACCATTTCGTGATTATCGTATCAGGAGTGAGAATGGGAAGCAGAGCATGCAGGATTTGAAAGAATGGTAATGTCTTGTCTGTTGAATCGTGAATGTTTTTATAAATTGATGTCAGCTCGTTGCATAGGCGATCATGACGATCACGCTCGAGAGGTGGGTTGGAATGTGGAGAGAGCGTAGAAGCGAAAGAATCTATCGAGTTGAGGGTTTCTTGGAGAGGGGGAGTAGAAGTAGTGAGTGTTGAGTGAATTTGTCTTAGTAGGTCAGACAAGCTGGACATCTAATACTGATGATACTTGGAAAAAAAAGGGTTGGATTAGAAAGAGTAACTAGTGTGGTGATATTTTCATTTTATCGATGATGTCATTGCGCATCAACTATAGTTTTTTGCGCATCTGACAGTAAAAGTCACGCTTACCAAATGCGGGTGTTCGTTACTATTGTCTAAAGTTTATAATTACCAAGGAGATAATGGTGAGATTGTCAGCCAAACGTACAGTATACGTTTCATCCAAAGCGACATAATGCATTTCAAGCGTAGAATCAACACCAACACATTGCAAGAGACAACTAAAAAGCTAGCTGCCATGCATAGTCTGTATGCTCGATATTTAAGCAATATAATCTTTCATTTGTAAAGCACTTGATTTGTGTGTTCGACAGGGTCAATCTTGATTTGTTCAACATAAAGTTCTCCCGTTGCATTTTTCATAAAGATTGCAAAAAGTTCTTTTGCGTTTGAATTAGAGCCTTTGCCTAGTTTATTATCGCAAAATCTCAATAATAATAAAGAATAATGCTAACTCTTTCGTATACAAAATATTATTATTATATTGTGCACTTTTTAAACTGGCCATTACAATTAAGTTATTAGAGACTGGATATTAAGTTAGCCGATGCTATATTTATTTGTCTATGAGTTAGTTTTATTTCTTCAATATTATATTATTTTATTACAAGCGATAAGTTTAAAGCTTATGCTTTAAAAAACAAGAGCACGTTATGCGTTTGGTTTCACTCCATCCCGTAGTTCTATCATCTGTCAGCCCGTTACAGCCAATCGATAGACCTGAACCATGACATTGGTCAGTCGGATGTCTTTTGCCGTTAATACGATGTTGAGATGTCAGTCTTCATTTGTTGTTTCGTTATAATAGGGATGGAATAACCAGAGAAATGACCGGTATCAAATGATATACCAGTGCCCCACCATTTTTTGGATAGAGATTGTGCAGTTGCTCTCTCTCTAGATAGATAGATAGTGAGTGAGAGAGAGAGCAGAGAGCAGAGAGCAGAGAGCACCATGACTTTTTCCATTCGGATCGGATTTGATAGTTGGCAAGGCATAACTGTTATGTCGTTGTCCGTTTCAGGAACGAGCGGAGAAATGTACATTTTTTCCGTTGATAATAGTTCCGCGATTGTTGTGCTTGATTTTCGTCGCGGTACATTCCTCTTCCATCTCTGCCGCATCCAAGTTTCTTCTGTACATTATCCAATGGACGAGACCGTAAACGTTCCTCGTGTTGTTCCTCGACTGTTATTTCACGGCCGCGTGGTTACGTTTTAGTTGTCGACCGCCGAACTACAAGATGGTAGTTCTTAAATGATGGATATGGATTTCGTACCAAATGTCATCCCGATGACGACAACCGCACCACCGTGCATACGCCTGACTAATGGCTTGTTGTGTTCTTGTGTCTGTGGTCCTAATGATGTTCGTTTCGGAGGCCGCGCTCGTAGAAAGACTTGTAGTTTGTCCCGGGACACCATCAACTCTGTTGATAGTCGCGTAAGCAATAGTGTTTATTTGTAGGCAGTGTTTTGTTGTGATAGCGATAGGCGCCTTTGCCTTGTTTACATCCAGAAGTTTTGGATGAGTATAGCCCGTGCAATGATGCTAAATTACTCGGGGACCCATTTTTGTTGCCCATCTATCATCCAATGATAGATGAGAATAGCACGTGTGGTGTTGCAGGGGAGGGGTTACCCAACCGTTTGGGACTTATTGGTTTGCGTTGGCCCAACCACATATTTTACATCCGGGGCCAATGGATGAGTATAGCCCGTGCAATGATATTTAATTGAGGGTCACGGGCAGTGCAGTCGTATAAGCAAAAGGCCTTTGAAACAATTTACGTATAATGCAAATTGCAAAAATTGTCGTCATCGATAACGGATACGTAAATCTGCGTCTTGTCGATTGTTGATAATCCATTTCCGTTCAAGGTGTATAGGATATGACATTGGTACGTCGAATGCCTTCACGAATAGCAGGTTCGTGCACTGTGGTGTGGTCAAGCCAGCTGCACAATCTGATGATGTCGTGTCGCTTGCTGGTCGATGCATAATTTGTGTAAAATAGCTCCGCAAGATCTTGCAGTACCCCTACCAAATATGGCATGTATGGTGAAATTTGGTGGATTGTAGAATCCGGAAACCGGAAATAAGACAAAATTACGTGTATGGATGAATATGTACAAAGGTAAAATTACAAGAATATATACAAGTAATATACAAAATTAATAAACAAACAAAAAGTATGGATGTTAATATATTTTCTGACCATGGGAAATTATGCACGATGCATGCATGTAATTTACGATTAGTGTAGGGTTCTTGAATAGTTAGGGGTTCATAAGGGTAATTAAATGTCTACAATGTCGTGAAGGAACCGTGAATGTTTGGTAGGGTAAGCTTTTTTACGTGCGGGCCACGGTCGTCAAGTCCAACGAGAGAGAGAGAATTTATGGTGTTTGCCCTCCTTGCTATATAGTGTCCGATTGAGATATTGTTTTAGACGTTGACGCATATAATTAGTCGATTAAGAGATGTTTTCTGTATAGACAACTAAGGCGGCGGTGTACTGTCAATTACTTATGCTTTTATGTTTTAGCGTGTGTGTTTTAATGCGTTGTTGTTTTCGCAAGATAAAGATTCGACGTCTTGCTCGAGACTGCTATATATATGTGTGTTTTTTCCAAGGGTAATATAATGTAATCCTACGTTGGTTTTATTACTCTTTGTTTCTTTTGTGGTTTTCAGGGGTATAACATTCTATCTAGAAACGCGGCTAGAGCCTTGTGACTCGCAACAACAACAATACTTTTGATTGATCGATAGTCAATACGGGGAGTTAGAAGCTGTCAGGGGTAAGGATGTTAATATTTTGAAGTAAATAAGTGCACTCGTCTAGTTGAGATGATTACTGATTTTATTTCAAAATATACAAGCATAAAATAAAATTTGCTATAAATGGGTATGCATATATTGTTTGCAATTCCAACATCTCATTGACGGTTCTATAGCTCAAAATCCCTATCACAACATCATCGTACTAACCAAACAAAACAATGGAAGATTTGGCAGATTGAAATATTAATGAATATAAGCGTATATAATATTTTAAAGTTTTGACTGAGGCATTATATCTTTCCCCCTTTTCCCCAGCTAAAAGTGTCGCTGCACAGTTCTTTGTTGGAGAAGATGAATGCAAAGGTTTGTGCACTCTCTACAATAAAGTTCAATCTGAGATTGTTAGGATAACAAAGAAAAAAAAATAGTTTATTACAGATAAAACTGATTACGGAGTGATAGTTAAAGCGTATGCTAGCTGCAGTTCTATTGTGAATTTATGTGTGGGGTTACCCCGCCGTATATATAAAGTTTAAGTAATATACTATAACCTAATATATAACCTAATAAATAAGCTATATATAACCTAATAAATAAGCTATAAATAGCCTAATCTGACCAAATATGATACGATTATGCATGGAGCAGTGAATATATGGAAAGTTGGTATAAATGTTTCATGTTCATGTTAATATTGTCCTTATAGCAATTAACGACGAACAATATGAACAGCTCATGCATGTATGAATCAGAAGGAGGAAGTTTTGCGTAATCTATCGATCGACTGATTACGCGAGCGAGAATATCTATCACAATCGCATTTGTGTGTGTGCAACGTAAATTCAATCTATCATATTCCATCAACTTAATCAGTGCCAACAAACGTCTTTATTAATTAATACTAGTATTAGATACATGGACATTGTTAACGAGCAAAACTACATGATTTAGGTTCTTTAATTTATTTAATTTAAATGATATTAAACCTTATTTTAAATGAAGAGTGAGGAAAACAACTTTTATGTAATCTTAAAACACGTCTGTCTAGAATAAGATGGTTGTTACTGGCTCTTTACAAATACAAACGAGAATAATTTTATATAAAAATTCTATCTACAATGCGGTGACGATGATTTTATACAAAACAAGACCCTAATCGATATTCGCATCAGTCTTGAGCATATCTGATATCCCATCATATTTATTCGTTTGTACCGCTATTTGTGGCTAAGCCTTTGTCCCATGACGTTGTGGCTCAACTGATATGCATGTGCATGCGTAACATGTGAAGAGTCGGTCTATCAAACATTCCTAATACAGAATATGCAGCTCTCCTAAGTGTTTCGGGCGTAGTTTTAAGTGATGGATGTAATTTAATTGTACCTAGCAACTGTTGGACTTAGGCACGTAGAGGGGGATGCGGGATACTTTTTTTTTTCTTCAGTACGCTCGAACTACTACAACTGTTCTAACACAGCTTTTAGTACGTAAGTTGACACTTTAACTACGTCCTCTTAGTATACAGCATTCGGGGAGACAATATAATAATTCTTTATTTACTGTTTACTAAGCCAAAAAATTTGTCCGTCTGCTTGTCGTATAAACTGAGAAGAGGCTTGTTTTGCTTTACGCCAATCTTGAATTCTCTCGACGGCTCTACCCCAGAGAAAAGTATTTCCTTTGTTGTTTTTTTTAAGAAGCAAGTTGCTGTTTGTCACTGTGGGCATACATGTCTGCCATATCGGTGGTTATTATTATTGCTATCATTCGAACTTTCACTGAGAAAATGCGCACCTCTTTTATACTTTGATGCAGTGTGTCACGAATCAAAGGTTGAAATTTCCATCGAAATCTGCCCAGACCACCAATAATTGCTTTTTTCGGTTGTAAACTTCAGTCATTTATAATTCTGAAACAAATCCAAACGCCCTAATCGGTATGCCTAGTAGTAAAGTTATTCTGAATCTTATTATTATTTTACCCGCTCCAAGGGTTGAAAAGGCCTATCACATGTTTGATTTACATATTTGTAGGATTTTCAAAGGGTCCTGGTCCGATCGCTTCAAAAGTGATCGAAGGAAATTGTGATCGATTGGACGGTAACTGCTGGTGGCGCGTGCGTTGCTTATACTACTATAGAGGCTGTGCTAAGCAAATTTCTTTGAATTTTTTTTCGACAGATTAGATGTATATGCAGGCGATGGGGAAAAAAAAAGACTTAAACGGTCACCATTGTACAGCCGATAACAAAGATAGAAGGAAGCCCTTGAGAAAATTTGGATTACGGCAGCTCCTCTGCATAGCCAACTCTGTTGATTACTCATTACTGGCATGTGTAGCATGCATTATGGTCATTACTGATAGAAATCTTGAAGGTGCATACAGTATTTTTATTGTTATCGAGTGTTAAGATTATATATGATATAGACCGTCACACAATTTTTTAGGTCATGAAGAACCAACTTGCCAAGGGTACTTTACTGTTCACGGTCTGTTTCAGTATAATTTCCTTCTAATTGTTGAAATGACGTCAGACATGCAATAATAAAGGGCTAACAATGATTACTTGCCCTTATTGCTCTAGACATTTTACATCAGAGTTGGCGTAAACCTACGATCAATTTTACGGGAGGGTCAGTTTCCGATGCTTGTTTGTTTGTTTATTTATTTGTCTATTATTTATTATTTGTTTGTTCGCCTTTCCGATTCATTGCTTAATTGGTCTCATTGATGGATATACTGTACTTTGCTTTCATTTATTGCTAAATACGTCTACCAGCCACAGTGGTCATAATAATGGTCATAATGACTCTCCGTTTACTTGATTAGTCCAAAGGCAAGCATATATTCTAGAACTGTCTGTTTAAATCAAAGTAATCGCTACAATATCATTAATTTAACATCTGTCTAAACTCGTAACAGTAATTGACGTTGAATCATTCGGCAGTAACAATGGCATCGAATTTAATGAAAATATCTAAAAGAAATCAGTTAAATTTAATATACGTGTCCCACGGAGATTAGTAAGTATTAATTGATATCTCATGACAGACATTTCTTGTGCACTTTTCAAGTATGGTAATGGCGTGTGTTGGATAATACAGTCAACTCTGTTTATACCGGGATCTCTTTATACCGGACGGACTGATTCTTGCGTACTAGTACCGTTCGTTTCATATGAAAATTCTTTGTTTATACCAGAGTCTCTTATAAACTTGCCATATGGAAGGACACAGAGAGCTATGCCAACCCGTTCAGTATAAACAGAGTTGACTGTATAATGCTGTGAATACAACGAACGGATTTGGTTTAGAAGGGAAATTATTTAACAATGTATTTTTCCCAGTTAAACGGCTATGTCCTTATCATACGGTGTTTAGAACATGCATTTTGTGTACCTTTGGCATCGTTGAAAATACATGCCTTTGAGGCGTTGAAACATGAATTGCCATAAGTCTTGCTTTTGCGTGCATCAAAGTACAGTAACTTCGTGTAACAAAATTTTCTAATCTTACTTTCACGTGTTTCCAGCTTATATAACGATGTTTCAAATTCTGTCTGACCCGCACCCACTTTTTTCACGAATATTATTGTCGCATGGAAAAGACCATCTCGGATTATTTGCTTCAGTTGATCGGACTTGTATCAAATCCTCCCTCCGAAACACAGTCTCAAAATCAATAATCGCCTTCGATACCGGCCAATGTCTCCATATCGACGAATTTGATTCGAACGGGACTTGGAATTCGAATGAAATTCATACGGGAAATTCCTCTTGGTTACAAACTGCTCACTCCTTCTCACCACCACGAACCTACTCTCAGTCGACGGCTGACATTGATAATCAACTTTATCTAATACGTACGTATATAATATAGCCACTAGAATGTACAAAATTCATTTACTACATACAATACGTACGTACGTCAGCGGTAAATATAACCGAATACTTTATATCATCTGTAAACCGTTGCTAATACTGTATGGTTTTACTTATAACTATTTGTTCACTATCAAGGTTAAAAATGTAATTGCTATATCCATGTGTGGAGCTAGCCAAAACCCTTATACAAATAAATCACCAAAAGTCTTATATACACTCATACCTCTTCCCCCCGCCTCTGTCTCGACGCGCGCTCTCTTTACAGCCTGCTTGCAAACTCTCTGACCTTTTCTATTGGCACTCCGCCAAAGCTGAGATCATGAGCTGGCATAACATAGTTTACATCCTGAAGTTCAGATATCTGTTTGATCGAACGGCGCGCACCGCTCACCGAAACTGTGAACGCAGTCACAGGTAATGATAGCGATGGCGACGTCAGAAAGGCCAAGTTCATTAGAGCATCTCCACAAGCAAGCGAATTGGATGGGATGTGAAGAAACGAGAGTGAACCTGTCAAAAAAACAAATGTAGTCACGATTATTTTTGAGTATTGTTATATTGCTACATGTTTCGTACGTGCATGCAGAAAAACAATTGGACAACGCGAGATTTTTGACCTATACGTCAATGTCAATCCCCTCGGCCCTACACTCCCACCCAATGATCTACTCACCAGGAGTATGCCCATTCGTTCGAACAACCTTGACAACATTTCCAAATATCGTATTCTCCTCTTCCCCCGACTCGATTACCACCACGTTCTCTTTATCCACTTTAACCTTACTCTCTTCGGCCAGTCCCTTGAACAACTGAAATATGCAAGTATCACCATTGCAGTCCCTGTACTTTTTTCCCTCGACGACAAACGGATACTCATTCCTAGCGATTACCACTTTAATCTCTGGATACGCACGCAGTAACGTTGGCAGTGCGGCTGTGTGGTCGTGATGACCATGTGTCAAGAAGACGTATTTGAGTGGAAACTCGGGATGTGATTGGAGGTGTGTCGATAGAGCCGAGGAGAGAGATTCGACGTGGGATTTGTGACCTGCATCTATCAGGATCGAATAGGAAGAGGAAGAGGAGGAGGAAGAGGAGGGGGAGGAAGAAGAAGAAGTAGGAGTGGATGGAACGTGAACTAAGAAAACCGATACTGGAATTGAAATTGGGCCGTATTGCCAAAGAAATGTTGCCCGATACAAGTTTTGGAACAAGAGTGTGAACTTGTTATAGTCTGGAAGAGACGTCACAGACGACATTAGAGATGTTATTGATAATTTCGGTAGCCCAAAACGGAGAAAATATTGTGAGTGGCTGGCAAGATTTCCTGTACGCCAAATAATTATACTAATACATGCCTATAAAGCTAAGGTCGAGGTTACATCCTCGAAATGAAAGCGGATCATGGTTAATTAATAATCTTCAGGATGTACTGTATATCCGCAGAGGGAAATAAAAATAGAATGTCTTCACTGCCGTATTAACATTAAGAATGGGTAAATGTCGTCTATACAACCATATACAGCGTATAAACGGTTCATTATTATAATGATATTTTAGGGTTTTTTGCTACCATGACATTAGTTTCGATGCAAGAGACTAAAATATTTAAGTAGGAATTCGTTCAAGCAAGTAGCCTTTCTCACAGGGTAAAAAAAGATGAGGCCAAATCACCTTGTTCCCGAAAGCAAGTACCTTCTTCCCGAATACAAGTACCTTCTTAATGAAATGGACGTACGATGCTTGCACGACTCTTCGTTGAACGTTACGGAGCATACAGTGGAAGATGAATTAAGAAAAATGGCTTCGATATACTATTGTGGGAAACTGTTGACTTGCTTCCTAATACCCAATTTGTCTGAAGCCCGCGAAATGGCTAAACAGCACGGGTGGACGAAAATTATCGATGACTTTACCTTTTTTAGATGCATGCTAGATCTATATCTAGCTGACGTTCAACGCAAGTGTGTTGCCAAAATAGCGTCAAACGCTTGGTTGAAAGCTTGTGATTCCACTCGAAAAAGTTTCAATATTTCATACTAGGTCCGACTATTATACGAATTGTTGGACAACCCAACTCAGACTTTTGAAAATCCAATATATGTGATATGCTTCGATATGGTATATATTATTACTACAGTCTACAAGGAGGTTCTGGATTGCGAAACTTGATGGAGTTTGTAATATGCATACAATCATATGGGGGAAAGGATATCTATGGGATAACGTTCGATTATTTTTCATGTAATAACTTCTAATTAATAAATCGTTCTCATATTTGCGTGAGGTTGTTCAATGGGCGCAAATCTATAGAATTCATAACACAACAGCACGTGTGTGGTGTTTAAATTCTGAGTTCTATTATCTGTACCAACAATGCAATACCAGCTCTTAATTCTCCCTTGGAGTATAAAAGAATAATGTCAGATGAGATAAACCGTAATGATAATGCAAAGCAATAATTTCTTAATTACCCATTCATGCGCTAATACATTCTCGCAGGTGTGTATGAAAGTACATGTTAAGCGCGTGATAAGACGCTCACCATACAAATCGTCAACTTGATAATTCAATCCAGATTTTGATCAATATTAGAAGAAGCAATTATCGAATGAAGAACATATCTTTGAATGATACCCAAAATTTCATTCGAATACAACTTCATAGAACGATACTGGTTTTATATAAAAACGGGAAACTAGACGCCTTGTAATTATACATAGCATTCTGAATTACTCACTAGTGTACCTACGACAACGATTTGCAAGTTTGTCGTCCGTAAGTCATGGAATATATGAATACATACAATAAGGGATTAAAGGGTAGAGCTGCAGAATGGGCTGTTACTAAGTTTAAATCATATCATAGTGATAAATTACCCAAAGTATTGAAATGTGAAAACGTATAAATTACCCATAATAAATCTTCAGACATCCGCAGAGGGAAATATAAATAGAATGTCTACACTGCCATATTAACATTAAGAATGGGCAAATGCCGTCTATATAACCATATACAGGCGTATAAACGGTTCATTATTATAATGATATTTTAGGGTTTTTTGCTACCATGACATTTCCAGTTTCGATGCAAGAGACTAAAATATTTAAGTAGGAATTCAAGTAGCCTTTCTCACAGGGTAAAAAAAAGATGAGGCTAAATCACCTTGTTTTCGAATGCAAGTACCTTCTTACCGAATACGACTCTGAATTATACGTTACAGAGCACACAGTGGAAGACGAATTAAGACAAATGGCTTCGATATATTATTGTGGGAAACTGTTGACTTGCTTCCTAATACCCAATTTGTCTGAAGCCCGCGAAATGGCTAAACAGTACGGGTGGACGAAAATTATCGATGACTTTACCTTTTTTAGATGCATGTTGGATCTATATCTAGCCGGCATGCAACGCAAGCACGTTGCCAAAATAGCGTCAAACGCTTGGAGGAGAGCTTCTGAAGAGGCTCGAAAAAGTTTCGATATTTCATAATAGAGAGCTTTACTAGGTCCGACTATTATACGAACTGTCGGCAACTCAACCCAGACTTTTGAGAGTCCAATATATGTGATATGCTTCGATATGGTATATATTATTACTACAGTCTACAAGGAGGATCTGGATTGCGAAACTTGATGGAGTTTGTAATATGCCTACATTATTGTATACACAGTAACTGAAATGGTTGAAATTTTTAATCTCTTCAAACGGGTCGGTTATCAAATAGGGTTATAATAGGTGGACGATCTTACAGGGGGGTGGAAACAACCATATGGGGGGAAAGGATATCTATGGGATAACTTTTCATGTAATAACTTCTAATTAATAAATCGTTTTCATATTTTGCGTGAGATTGTTCAATGGGCGCAAATCTAGAATTCTTATCGTAACACAACAGCACGTGTTTGTTCTTAAATTCTTATTTACCAACAATGCCAGCTCTTAATTCTCGTCATCATTCCCTTGGAGTTATAAAAGAATAATGTCAGATGAGATGATAATGCAAAGCAATAATTTCTTAATTACCCATTCATACGCTAATACATTCTCGCAGGTGTGTATGAAAGTGCGTGTTAGGGCGCGTGATAAGACGCTCACCATACAAATCGTCAACTTGATAATTCAGTCCAGATTTTGATCAATATTAGAAGAAGCAATTATCGAATGAAGACATATCTTTGAACGATACCCAAAATTTCATCCGAATACAACTTCATAGAACGATACTGGGTTTATGTAAAAACGAGAAACTAGACGCCTTGTAATTATACATAGCATTCTGAATTACTCATGGAATATATGAATGCATACAATAAGGATGGAGCTGCAGAATGGGCTGTTACTAAGTTTAAATCATATCATAATGATAAATTACCCAAAAGCATTGAAATATGAAAACGTATAAAATTACCCATAATAAATCTTTCCGCATAGGGAAATACAAATAGAATGTCTACACTGCCATATCAAAGTGTCGTCGTTTATACAACCATGTACAAGCGTATAAACGGTCATTATTATAATGATATTTCAGGGTTTTTTGCTACCATACCATTTCCAGTTTTGGTCGATGCAAGGGACTAGTGTATTTAAAGTATGAATTCATTCTAGCAACAGTCTTTCTCACAAGGTAAAAAAAGATGAGGTCGAATCACCTTGTTTCCGAATACAAGTACCTTAATGAAATGGACGTACCATACTTGCACGACTCTTCGTTGAACGTTACGGAGCACACAGTGAAAGATGAATTAAGAAAAATGGCTTCGATATACTATTGTGGAAAGTTCCTAATACCCGGTTTGTCTGAAGCCCGCAAAATGGCTAAACAGTACGGGTGGACGAAAATTATCGATGACTTTACCTTTTTTTAGATCTATATCTAGGTGGCGTGCAACACAAGCTCGTTACCAAAATAGCGTCGAACGCTTGGGAGAAAGCTCCTGAATAATAATTATCTTGTTCCCGAATACAAGCTCTTTCTCAATAAAATTTACATGCCGTACTTGCACGACTCTACGTTAAACGTCACGGAGCACACAGGGAAAGATAAAACAACTGTAAAAATGGCTTCGCTCTACTATTGTGGGAAACTATTGACTTGCTTCCCAATACCCAGTTTTTGAAATGGCTAAACGGTACGTGTGGACGAAAATTGTCGATGACTTTACCTTTTTTAGGTGCATCAATCTAGATGACGACGTGCAACGCAAGCATGTTGCCAAAATGGCGTCAAACGTTTGGAAGAGAGCTACTGAAGAGACTCGGATATCTCGTAATAATTACCTTGTTCCCGAATACAAACACTTACTCTACGTTAAACGTTACGGAGCACACAGCGAGAGTGAGCTAGTCAATAATGATACTTCTCAAATGCAGAACTAGTTCAAATGCAGTAGGGGAAGTAGCTGTCTCCCAAATTTAGTAACTCGAAGCGTTACCATATCTGGTAGGGGAGGTACCATAAATAGTAATTGACAGTAATCGTACTATTGTCTACAATGATGTATAACTTATCAAACAATAAAGAAATCTTTGGCAAGAGCTTATGAGCACCTACATTTTACCTACCTGCCAATCTGTCAGGAGAGGTAAGCTGATGAGAGTACCCTCTGTTGTCAGATGTTGGGCAAGCAGTCATCCAATATGAGAAAACAGAGAAAAGAAAAGCTCGATATTGTGCAAAAAGCCAAAAACTAACGCATGTTCTTCTCATTCCAAACATAAACTTTATGTGTCGACAGAGGGAGGAATTCAAGGAGCCTCCAGAACGACAATCAAAAGGAATTTCGTCTATCTTTTTCACATTTAAAATTTTCTCGATGAGTCGGACAAGATATATAAACTCTCGTTAAGCTTTAAGTCGGACAACTTCGGCAGAAGATTTTTGCTATTTTAGTAGAGATTGTCCAATAACGATAACATTTTGTCATCTTCATTAGCCAAACATGTTACTTACTGATTACTGTTATTTGACGATTTATCATTTTTGATGATTTATTGGCATTTTTGTAATTTTAAAGAAAATGTTTATACCTCGTTATGTCATTGATGATTTGCTATTTCATTTGACGATTTAGAAAGACGTTCTTGTAATTTAAACAATTGTTTATACGTCTTTATATCATTGATTATTGTATTTGATGATTTAGAAAAAGACGTTCTTGTAATGTATTGTACGTCATAGGATATTCATTAATGATATCATTCTGCGAATATTTGCATTCGAAACAACGTGTTTATTTATTTCAGAAAATGTATAAAAGGCTAATGTCCAAACCTTCAGAATTCTTTAATAAAGACCAAAGTTAAAGCTATAATTATGAATGTGGAAGGAACATTTATTTAACAAACAACAGTAATAACAATCTTTCGTTCTTTATCTGTTTATTAAAATAAAATTTACGTTATTGAATAACCGATAATCTTATAAATATGACATTAAAGGAAATTGTGTTACGATGAATCCTGTCGGTCCCTCGATAAGTCGGACAGCAACTTATCGAGTTTTACTATGTATATATGACGTTAGCAATGTGAAGCTCGGAGCGTAATCATTTGCATATAACTCGTATATTATTGTTATGAAACAATCTTTTTATTATGCACAAAACAGTAATAATGCGTGCGGTGACAGCTTTTTCGCCGGCATTGCTACGCGGACGACGGTCATTTACGTCTGCATTCGTTGTAAATTGCATGAAGACAAATATTAACGTGTAGATTAGCTTCGAGACAATAACCTCATAAACATTTACAGGCAAAGTGCAGTGCTCGGTCTAACGTAGTTGTTATTCAAATACAGCAAGGTGCGTACAAATCTCGAAATATGTTACGTAACCATCGTGATGTGAATAAAGAATAGTTCTTAGTTTAAATACCAGACCGGTGCATATGTTAAATACGTGATCAGTACGTGATTATTGTTCCAAGTCAAATATATCAACCGTTAGTAGCATCAAACGGATGAATAGCATCGACCATAATTCAAACTTCGACTATATAGTAGTGTTTAATAAGTGATTTCGTAGTTAAATAATAATGTTACATA